TTTATGTTTTTTTGGATTAGTTTAGTCAAACTTTTAAATTATGATATTAATGAATTTTAAAATTGTCAAAATGGAACGTTGTTTTCTTCGACACAATAAATTCAAAATTGAAAGCCCAAACCTATTAAATAATATTTTGTTTTTTTATCTCTAAAGAGTAAAGACTAACCCTATTTATTTTGTTCTTTTATGTCAATACTATTATATTAAATAGTGAAAATCCACGCGTTGCGCATAACAACTATTTAGATGATTTTTAAAACTATTTTAATATTATATATATATATATACTAACATTGATATACTTAAATGATGTTTAAGATTTATGCTCATAACTTCTATTTATACAAATTCAAACATCATTTTTAAATGTTTAATATGAAAGTGAAGCATATGATGATATATATAAATATTATTATTTGAATACTATATTTTAAAACTTTCTCTAGAATTCAGCGTATTTTTTGGAATTTTTTCGTTATACTCCGTGTCCACGATTGTAAAAAAAAAAATGTTGAGTCCACAAATGACCGGAAAGATAAAACTTAAAAAGTGAAATATGCAATAATTTATAGATAAACACATGTAAAAAATTGGTGAAATTTAAATGTTTTTTAAATTGATTGATCACATATTTGGTTTATAGAATTTGATTCTTATATTATCTAAAGTTATATAGCTTCTAAAAAAAAATATGATAGTTTTTCGGAAATTCTAATTAAGAAAAGTTTAAAGAATTTGGAAAAAAATATTGAAAAAATAATTATCTATTAGAATATGGTTTTACATATTTGTAATTAATTTATGAAGATAATTTGATGTTAATTAAATGTTTACTTTAAATTAATATATTGATATTACATTTTTATTTTAAAGAATCAATGCAAAAAATCTAAAATTTAGAGAAACTTAAGTAAAAATAAAGTATTAAAAATGAAAAATTTTAACATCAAAAGTGACATGTGGCAGCCTTTTAAAACTTCAATTAGAAGAAACCTTAAAATTTTATATTAGATATTTGGAAGATTGGTTTGAACAATCCATATGTACATCTTTAACACCACTAGAATGTTTTAGTGCATTTTTCATATATATCAGTTTGGTCAAATCATAAAAACAATATGAATATTCAACACTCATGTTACTTACTTTCCAAATACTCATTTATGCAAATTACGTAGGCAGCTTTTATTCCCCCATAGTAAATAAACAGCCTAAAATATTAAAGCGATAAGTATAAACACAAAAAGAACAATCAACCAAACAAAACTCTGTCCTCTCTCGACACCTTCTCTGCTTTCTGTTCAATCTCTCCATTTGCGATGGCCGGAATAAGAGAAGAAGCAACGGCGACCCTTCTGAACAAGACGGCGGAGAACGGCAAAGAAGAGGATACTTTGGAGACGAGAGAGAAGATTTGGATTGAATCAAAGAAGCTATGGGTTGTGGCGGCTCCGGCGATATTCACGAGATTCTCTACGTTTGGAGTGTCTTTGATAAGTCAAGCTTTCATCGGCCACCTTGGCCCGACCGAGTTAGCCGCTTTCTCCATCAGTTTCACCGTTCTCCTCCGTTTCAGTAATGGTATCTTGGTGAGACACTCTCTTCTCTACTCCTATTTCTATTCTTTTTAATTATTAGGGGTTATTATTATATGAAATGATAGAATATGACCTCTAATTGCTAAATATATTTTGTTTTGTTAATTTCCCCTAGATTTAAATGTTATTTTTTATGTTGGTGGTAATAATTTATAATATTCCCGTTAAATAGTTAGGATTAGTTTCTTTTTTCTTGGGACAGTTTTGAAATGGATATGATGACGTGAATGCTTACATAGACATCATCTTGTCCTTATTGTCGTAGCCGTAGCTTGTTTTGGTTTCTGCTTCTACGGATCCTAAATTTCACAGCCACAGAACTCTTTGTTTGTTCATATGACATCAGACGTGAAATGCAATTTTTTATCAACTAGCCAATTATAAATGTCATATGTTCCAACCAAAACATTTTTTGTCATGTAAAAGCGAATTTCTTTAGCAAATATATAAAAGTATATTCTAAAATGAAGTATTTTTATTAATGAAATGCGAGGAAAAAATCAATTAAATATAAACAAACTAATTAATAAAGTGTTGACACACACTCTATAGTTTTTTTTTTAAATCACACGTACTCTTTCTTTTAGTAATTTTTTTTTTTGGGCAACAGTTGATTCTCATTACTTAAAGCGTAACATTACATAGATAATATGGAGTTATCAAAACTCCATGATAAGAACAACAAAGCTTGAAGTTATTAAACATTACGGAAGACAAATCATCGAGATAGAACGACTGCGAATCCAAACACATCGGATGCGTCGATAAGACATTCACGGCAATGCCGAAAAGTTGAGAGATGGTCACCTTAGCTTGTGACGTTGAAGGCCAATCTACACCTCGGAAACTCATCAAGACGAGTCTCGTTGCATCTTCAGGTCCCGTGGAGGCCGCTACACAAGATGACAATATGGTTGAAAATCGACAATTTGTTCTCTATTCTAGAATCGCAGAACATTCTCCTTGCAAAGAGAAGAATGATAAGAACGATCTCTCCCATAAGGAGGAAGTTGTTATCTCCGTAACGACGGAAGAAAGTTGAAGACAATACAAGTCCGAAAATTTAGCGTTCAATAGAGCATATGTATTGCTTAAAAGGCATTTCCACAAGGGACTACCCAAAATAAGGACATCATCGGGAAAGNTCCCGGAAGAAGACACGTCGNAAACGAANCTTGGACAAGTCACATAGACGGTGAAGCTCGGAGGAGACGGCCATAGCAGAAGCTTGATCTTCTGATATCTCACCGAAGCCAAAGCTTTTATCGACGAGACTGAATTCAGAGCATTCGGTGAAAGAGATGGCAGATCCAGCGGATGAATGGCACGCGGTGGAGATTTGAGGCCCGACCAATGTTGGAATGAAGCATAGTGAAGGGAAAGTGGTCTCTCCACGCTCGATGTGGAGGAAAAGGATTTTAATGAGCTCGGCAAGGACATGCCTAAATTGGCAAGAAAAGCGGTACAATAATGCATATGTGAATCGAGAATGCTTAAGCAAGAGAGAGGCGGCGGATCCGGTGGGATAGGCGGATCTGGAGGCTCTCTCGGTACTGGACAAAGTATCATCCGTAGATGAGAGTTACTCGCGGTCAAGTCCAAGGCTCTGGGCGAGAGGATCGAGAGCACAACAAATCGACTAACCGTGAAGATTCCAAAGGAAGAATCCGAGAGGTCAGAGTGAAGAGACTCGCCGGTAACAACTCCGGCTGAAAATCGAGAACCCGAGACGGAGGAGAGCGCTGCTTCAAGGGGAGAGGAGAGCCTAGTCGAAGGGACTTCGTTGGAGGGGAACCATCTTGGCTTGGAGTGCGGCAGCGGCTCTTGGGAGAGATATCCGACGCGGCTGGATGAACGGCGGAGATGGAGGACCATTCTGGGAAGAGATCTGTCGTCGTCAGCGGCTTTTCGGTTCTCGGGCCCGAGAGAGAAAGTTAGGGCGAACTCCCTCAACACGTATTTTCTTTTAGTATTTCAACAATGGTTTTTTTATAACAATCAAAGAACATAGAATGAACAAAATAACAGAGCAGAATTGGGATTTACATAAACTACAATTAACATATTGTTATTGGCTAAATTTCTTCTACATGCCTCATCTTCTCTGGTTTTGGATTGACACAACATTCTTTTGATCACAATAAATTTGTGTTTATTGGTTATAAATTAATATGTTTAACGCGAAACTACATTTTGATTTGGTGTTTTAATTATTTTTTCACATTACAAATAAATATAACTCGTGATAATATAATCTTTGTTAAAAAACATGCTATTTACAATGTCAGAAAATCTATATATAAATAACAAAAAATTTGAATTTTTGATTGAGCTATTAAAAAATTGTGTGAGTGAACTCGACGGTTATATTTATTTTGAAAATTAATTAGATAATAACAAAATTCAGAAATTACAAAAAAAAAAAAGTTGAGTACAAAAAAAACGAATGAAGAAATGAAGACTTTCTTATAAATATATATTTTCGACGGCATACCTTTTCTTATTTTAAAATAGGTAAAAAGTGTAGAAAATAGAACATTGTCACCAAGTTTGACAAGATTCTTTAGTGGTCCAATTTGGTTGCCATGAATGTCTAATTGTCACCGTTGAGATTCATAGATTTGTGTTACACCTTCACCTTGGCCTTCTCTGTTTCCTTCTCCCTTTCTTTCTCGGCTTATATTGGATATGTAGTGTACCATTTTTATGCAACGGTCAATTTGCTATTCTTAAAAAGTCAATTAGCCAAATAGTTCGTTTCAAATTTGTCTTCACTCATATCATACTAACTAACATTAATAAATTCATCAGACTTAACTGTAAAAAAAGTCATAAACGACTCCAAAAAAACCAAAGATATTTGATAACAATACTAATAATGTTAGTTATAAACTTGCAATAAAATTTGCATTAACCTCTCTTGCATAACTCCGTTCTAGCAATTTTGGTTGCATGTCAACATTGTGTTTTTTTCTTTAGTTTTACTTTTAACTCATCCAAATTCACTTTTTTACATAAAATTGCATTATTTGAGTACATGGCTTTTTGTAAAATCGGGTATATTGCCTGAATGGTATTATGAAACTATGCATATAGTTAGGGGGTATATTCAACTAGGGATTTTGAAAAATCCTATAGATTTTAGATTTGGAGAGATTTTATGAGATTTGAAGGATGTTCAGAGGATTTGCTAAAATAATTATAATTAAAAATAAAAAAATTAAGGAGAATTTGGTGAGACTTTATAGTGAAATTTTAGAAGATATTGGAGTTTTTGTGTGATTTCAAAAAGGGTTTTCAAAACATATAGGAGATCTCTCTCTTACGGCACCTTCGTCTACGTTTTCGCCTTTAGAACAACAAAACTCAAACATCACTATAGATAAAATTATAGTGATGAATTGTGATATGCACCAACAGAAGATGATAAATCATAAACTCAAAATTATATGAACAGTAGTCCATGGCAAACATCATTAAAACACATGAAAAACAAATTAAACAAATTAAAGGAGATGAAGTTTGAAGTATCAATAGCAAATTGGGTAAACTCATCTCCTTTGAAATTTGATATGAGACGACGGCTAATGATCGTGTGTGTGTGTG